CTAAGTCAATGCCTGCAGCCCGCCCCCCCCCCTTCCCTCCCGCCGCCCCTGGTCCGGAGCAGGTATTTAACCCGCCTGGTCTTCGCAGCACTAGGTTGACGCCACCGATGCAGTAGTGTGGGTAAGTCGCATGTGAATCTTTGAATATTGCTGACATCCTCAAGGTGAACGAGGCAAACAAAAGAATGCGCAACATAAAGCACAGCCACGAGTGCTGCCAAACAACGCACAACGGATGCAACAACGACTCACACGAGTCGAATGCACGCACTAGGCGCTCACTCCCGTGGCAACAGCCGATCGCAAAGAAGCAAGCACCCCCCGTGGGGATCGAACCCACGACCACTGGCTTAAAAGGCCAGCGCTCTACCGACTGAGCTAGACGGGTGTACCTTGACAACATTTGCAGCAACTTCACACAACCAAAGTGCAACTCAAGCGCACAGATCAACACATGCACACGCACCAACCGGCGCAAAAACAACAAACAAACCACATAAACAAACGCTGCAACCAACCCACCTCCCCACATATACTCAAGTGTCATCAACCCCTTCATATCCAACGATTAAGGTTTCGCCATGCGCAATACATCTCGATCACTTACAAGACGCTATGCATGCATATTTTGGCAATCACTGCACTCGCTCGCTCAGGCCGACCCTTCGCTCTGTCGTTTGCCAACACAGTCGTGTAATGTATTCAATACCGGTAGCGACGTTGATACGGACACCCCCGGACACACCCGGGATCAGCATCAACAGAGATTTACACAAGAACGACCGTAGTCGAGTCCGAACCATCACTTGATCTGAGCAAAGTTACACAAGATAAGGTGCAAACCCTTCATGTACACAATCGCAGCAGCGGATTCTTCATCAGCCCGGAAACCTAGGCAGCACTCGAGAGCTTGGTAGCAACTGCGGCTAGATCTGACGGGCCGTTCGCTCCTGATTTGAGCAAAGACAGTCATTCAACTGGACTACGTGTGGCCTATCTGGGCTGCCTCTATTGAGCAGAAAACGTACTCGTGTGTACCTGTCAAACGGCCGTGCAGACTATTACGGAGATTGGAAGCAATCAGCTTAATTCGAGCCATTTAGTTCTACGAATCCAAAGGCTACGTTTGGCTGACCCATCTCTACCTCGTAAGATGACCTAGCTCATCCACCCAGTCAACCTAAGTCAATGCCTGCAGCCCGCCCCCCCCTTCCCTCCCGCCGCCCCTGGTCCGGAGCAGGTGTCCAACCCGCCTGGTCTCCGCAGCACTATTTTGACGCCACCGATGCAGTAGTGTGGGTAAGTCGCATGTGAATCTTTGAATATTGCTGACATCCTCAAGGTGAACAAGGCAAACAAAAGAATGCGCAACATCAAGCACAGCCACAAGTGCTGCTAAACAACGCACAACGGATGCAACAACGACTCGCACGAGTCGAATGCACGCACTAGGCGCTCACGCCCGTGGCAACAGCCGATCGCAAAGAAGCAAGCACCCCCCGTGGGGCTCGAACCCACGACCACTGGTTAAAAGACCAGCGCTCTACCGACTGAGCTAGACGGGTGTACCTTGACAGCCTTTGCAGCAACTTAACACAGCCAAAGTGCAACTCAAGCGCACAGATCAACACATGCACACGCACCAACCGGCGCAAAAACAACAAACAAACCACATAAACAAACGCTGCAACCAACTCACCTCCCCACATATAATCAAGTGTCATCAACCCCTTCATATCCAACGATTAAGGTTTCGCCATGCGCAATACATCTCGATCACTTACAAGACGCTATGCATGCATATTTTGGCAATCACTGCACTCGCTCGCTCAGGCCGACCCTTCGCTCTGTCGTTTGCCAACACAGTCGTGTAATGTATTCAATACCGGTAGCGACGTTGATACGGACACCCCCCGGACACATCCGGGATCAGCATCAACAGAGATTTACACAAGAACGACCGTAGTCGAGTCCGAACCATCACTTGATCTGAGCAAAGTTACACAAGATAATATGCAAACCCTTCATGTACACAATCGCAGCAGCGGATTCTTCATCAGCTCGGAAACCTAGGCAACACTCGAGAGCTTGGTAACAACTGCGGTTAGATCTGACGGGCCGTTCGCTCCTGATTTGAGCAAAGACAATTATTCAGCTGGACTACGTGTGGCCTATCTGGGCTGCCTCTATTGAGCAGAAAACGTACTCGTGTGTACCTGCCAAACGGCCGTGCAGACTATTACGGAGATTGGAAGCAATCATCTTAATTCGAGTCATTTAGTTCTACGAATCCAAAGGCTACTTTTGGCTGACCCATCTCTACCTCGTAAGATGACCTAGCTCATCCACCCAGTCAACCTAAGTCAATGCCCCCCCTTCCCTCCCGACGCCCCTGGTCCGGAGCAGGTGTCTAACCCGCCTGGTCTCCGCAGCACTAGGTTGACGCCACCGATGCAGTAGTGTGGGTAAGTCGCATGTGAATCTTTGAATATTGCTGACATCCTCAAGGTGAACGAGGCAAACAAAAGAATGCGCAACATAAAGCACAGCCACGAGTGCTGCCAAACAACGCACAACGGATGCAACAACGACTCGCACGAGTCGAATGCACGCACTAGGCGCTCACAACCGTGGCAACAGCCGATCGCAAAGAAGCTAGCACCCCCCGTGGGGATCGAACCCACGACCACTGGCTTAAAAGGCCAGCGCTCGTCAGCCACAGCTAGACGGGTGTACCCTGACACCATTTGCAGCAACTTAACACAACCAAAGTGCAGCTCAAGCGCACAGATCAACACATGCACACGCACCAACCGGCGCAAAAACAACAAACAAACCACATAAACAAACGCTGCAACCAACCCACCTCCCCACATATACTCAAGTGTCATCAACTCCTTCATATCCAACGATTAAGGTTTCGCCATGCGCAATACATCTCGATTACTTACAAGACGCTATGCATGCATATTTTGGCAATCACTGCACTCGCTCGCTCAGGCCGACCCTTCGCTCTGTCGTTTGCCAACACAGTCGTGTAATGTATTCAATACCGGTAGCGACGTTGATACGGACACCCCCGGACACATCCGGGATCAGCATCAACAGAGATTTACACAAGAACGACCGTAGTCGAGTCCGAACCATCACTTGATCTGAGCAAAGTTACACAAGATAATATGCAAACCCTTCATGTACACAATCGCAGCAGCGGATTCTTCATCAGCTCGGAAACCTAGGCAACACTCGAGAGCTTGGTAACAACTGCGGTTAGATCTGACGGGCCGTTCGCTCCTGATTTGAGCAAAGACAATCATTCAGCTGGACTACGTGTGGCCTATCTGGGCTGCCTCTATTGAGCAGAAAACGTACTCGTGTGTACCTGCCAAACGGCCGTGCAGACTATTACGGAGATTGGAAGCAATCATCTTAATTCGAGTCATTTAGTTCTACGAATCCAAAGGCTACTTTTGGCTGACCCATCTCTACCTCGTAAGATGACCTAGCTCATCCACCAGTCAACTAAGTCAATGCCTGCAGTCTGCCCCCCCTTACCTCCCGCCGCCCCTGGTCCGGAGCAGGTGTCCAACCCGCCTAGTCTCCGCAGCACTAGGTTGACGCCACCGATGCAGTAGTGTGGGCAAGTCGCATGTGAATCTTTGAGTATTGCTGACATCCTCAAGGTGAACGAGGCAAACAAAAGAATGCGCAACATAAAGCACAGCCACGAGTGCTGCCAAACAACGCACAACGGATGCAACAACGACTCACACGAGTCGAATGCACGCACTAGGCGCTCACTCCCGTGGCAACAGCCGATCGCAAAGAAGCAACCACCCCCCGTGGGGATCGAACCCACGACCACTGGCTTAAAAGGCCAGCGCTCTACCGACTGAGCTAGACGGGTGTACCTTGACAACATTTGCAGCAACTTAACACAACCAAAGTGCAACTCAAGCGCACAGATCAACACATGCACACGCACCAACCGGCGCAAAAACAACAAACAAACCACATAAACAAACGCTGCAACCAACTCACCTCCCCACATATACTCAAGTGTCATCAACCCCTTCATATCCAACGATTAAGGTTTCGCCATGCGCAATACATCTCGATCACTTACAAGACGCTATGCATGCATATTTTGGCAATCACTGCACTCGCTCGCTCAGGCCGACCCTTCGCTCTGTCGTTTGCCAACACAGTCGTGTAATGTATTCAATACCGGTAGCGACGTTGATACGGACACCCCCGGACACACCCGGGATCAGCGTCAACAGAGATTTACACAAGAACGACCGTAGTCGAGTCCGAACCATCACTTGATCTGAGCAAAGTTACACAAGATAAGGTGCAAGCCCTTCATGTACACAATCGCAGCAGCGGATTCTTCATCGATTCGGAAACCTAGGCAACACTCGAGAGCTTGGTAACAACTGTGGTTAGATCTGACGGGCCATTCGCTCCTGATTTGAGCAAAGACAATCATTCAGCTGGACTACGTGTGGCCTATCTGGGCTGCCTCTATTGAGCAGAAAACGTACTCGTGTGTACCTGCCCAACGGCCGTGCAGACTATTACGGAGATTGGAAGCAATCATCTTAATTCGAGTCATTTAGCTCAACGAATCCAAAGGCTACTTTTGGCTGACCCATCTCTACCTCGTAAGATGACCTAGCTCATCCACCCAGTCAACCTAAGTCAATGCCCCCCCTTCCCTCCCGCCGCCCCTGGTCCGGAGCATGTATCTAACCCGCCTGGTCTCCGCAGCACTAGGTTGACGCCACCGATGCAGTAGTGTGGGTAAGTCGCATGTGAATCTTTGAATATTGCTGACATCCTCAAGGTGAACGAGGCAAACAAAAGAATGCGCAACATAAAGCACAGCCACAAGTGCTGCCAAACAACGCACAACGGATGCAACAACGACTCACACGAGTCGAATGCACGCACTAGGCGCTCACGCCCGTGGCAACAGCCGATCGCAAAGAAGGAAGCACCCCCCGTGGGGATCGAACCCACAACCACTGGCTTAAAAGGCCAGCGCTCAGCTAGACGGGTGTACCCTGACACCATTTGCAGCAACTTAACACAACCAAAGTGCAGCTCAAGCGCACAGATCAACACATGCACACGCACCAACCGGCGCAAAAACAACAAACAAACCACATAAACAAACGCTGCAACCAACTCACCTCCCCACATATAATCAAGTGTCATCGACCCTTTCGTATCCAACGATTAAGGTTTCGCTATGCGCAATACATCTCGATAACTTACAAGGCGCTATGGATGGACATTCGGGCAATCGCTGCACTCGCTCGCTCAGGCCGACCCTTCGCTCTGTCGTTTGCCAACACAGTCGTGTAATGTATTTAATACCGGTAGCGACGTTGATACGGACACCCCCGGACACATCCGGGATCAGCATCAACAGAGATTTACACAAGAACGACCGTAGTCGAGTCCGAACCATCACTTGATCTGAGCAAAGTTACACAAGATAATATGCAAACCCTTCATGTACACAATTGCATTCTTCATCAGCTCGGAAACCTAGGCAACACTCGAGAGCTTGGTAACAACTGTGGTTAGATCTGACGGGCCGTTCGCTCCTGATTTGAGCAAAGACAATCATTCAGCTGGACTACGTGTGGCCTATCTGGGCTGCCTCTATTGAGCAGAAAACGTACTCGTGTGTACCTGCCAAACGGCCGTGCAGACTATTACGGAGATTGGAAGCAATCATCTTAATTCGAGTCATTTAGTTCTACGAATCCAAAGGCTACTTTTGGCTGACCCATCTCTACCTCGTAAGATGACCTAGCTCATCCACCCAGTCAACCTAAGTCAATGCCCCCCCTTCCCTCCCGACGCCCCTGGTCCGGAGCAGGTATCTAACCCGCCTGGTCTCCGCAGCACTAGGTTGACGCCACCGATGCATTAGTGTGGGTAAGTCGCATGTGAATCTTTGAATATTGCTGACATCCTCAAGGTGAACGAGGCAAACAAAAGAATGCGCAACATAAAGCACAGCCACGAGTGCTGCCAAACAACGCACAACGGATGCAACAACGACTCACACGAGTCGAATGCACGCACTAGGCGCTCACGCCCGTGGCAACAGCCGATCGCAAAGAAGCAAGCACCCCCCGTGGGGATCGAACCCACGACCACTGGCTTAAAAGGCCAGCGCTCTACCGACGGAGCTAGACGGGTGTACCCTGACACCATTTGCAGCAGCTTAACACAACCAAAGTGCAACTCAAGCGCACAGATCAACACATGCACACGCACCAACCGGCGCAAAAACAACAAACAAACCACATAAACAAACGCTGCAACCAACTCCACCTCCCCACATATACTCAAGTGTCATCAACCCCTTCATATCCAACGATTAAGGTTTCGCCATGCGCAATACATCTCGATCACTTACAAGACGCTATGCATGCATATTTTGGCAATCACTGCACTCGCTCGCTCAGGCCGACCCTTCGCTCTGTCGTTTGCCAACACAGTCATGTAATGTATTCAATACCGGTAGCGACGTTGATACGGACACCCCCGGACACATCCGGGATCAGCATCAACAGAGATTTACACAAGAACGACCGTAGTCGAGTCCGAACCATCACTTGATCTGAGCAAAGTTACACAAGATAATATGCAAACCCTTCATGTACACAATCGCAGCAGCGGATTCTTCATCAGCTCGGAAACCTAGGCAACACTCGAGAGCTTGGTAACAACTGCGGTTAGATCTGACGGGCCGTTCGCTCCTGATTTGAGCAAAGACAATCATTCAGCTGGACTACGTGTGGCCTATCTGGGCTGCCTCTATTGAGCAGAAAACGTACTCGTGTGTACCTGCCAAACGGCCGTGCAGACTATTACGAAGATTGGAAGCAATCATCTTAATTCGAGTCATTTAGTTCTACGAATCCAAAGGCTACTTTTGGCTGACCCATCTCTACCTCGTAAGATGACCTAGCTCATCCACCCAGTCAACCTAAGTCAATGCCCCCCCTTCCCTCCCGACGCCCCTGGTCCGGAGCAGGTATCTAACCCGCCTGGTCTCCGCAGCACTAGGTTGACGCCACCGATGCAGTAGTGTGGGTAAGTCGCATGTGAATCTTTGAATATTGCTGACATCCTCAAGGTGAACGAGGCAAACAAAAGAATGCGCAACATAAAGCACAGCCACGAGTGCTGCCAAACAACGCACAACGGATGCAACAACGACTCACACGAGTCGAATGCACGCACTAGGCGCTCACGCCCGTGGCAACAGCCGATCGCAAAGAAGGAAGCACCCCCCGTGAAGATCGAACCCACGACCACTGGCTTAAAAGGCCAGCGCTCTACCGACTGAGCTAGACGGGTGTACCTTGACAACATTTGCAGCAACTTAACACAACCAAAGTGCAACTCAAGCGCACAGATCAACACATGCACACGCACCAACCGGCGCAAAAACAGCAAACAAACCACATAAACAAACGCTGCAACCAACTCACCTCCCCGCATATAATCAAGTGTTATCAACCCCTTCATATCCAACGATTAAGGTTTCGCTATGCGCAATACATCTCGATTACTTACAAGACGCTATGCATGCATATTTTGGCAATCACTGCACTCGCTCGCTCAGGCCGACCCTTCGCTCTGTCGTTTGCCAACACAGTCGTGTAATGTATTCAATACCGGTAGCGACGTTGATACGGACACCCCCGGACACATCCGGGATCAGCATCAACAGAGATTTACACAAGAACGACCGTAGTCGAGTCCGAACCATCACTTGATCTGAGCAAAGTTACACAAGATAATATGCAAACCCTTCATGTACACAATCGCAGCAGCGGATTCTTCATCGATTCGGAAACCTAGGCAACACTCGAGAGCTTGGTAACAACTGTGGTTAGATCTGACGGGCCGTTCGCTCCTGATTTGAGCAAAGACAATCATTCAGCTGGACTACGTGTGGCCTATCTGGGCTGCCTCTATTGAGCAGAAAACGTACTCGTGTGTACCTGCCAAACGGCCGTGCATACTATTACGGAGATTGGAAGCAATCATCTTAATTCGAGTCATTTAGTTCTACGAATCCAAAGGCTACTTTTGGCTGACCCATATCTACCTCGTAAGATGACCTAGCTCATCCACCCAGTCAACCTAAGTCAATGCCTGCAGTCTGCCCCCCCTTCCCTCCCGCCGCCCCTGGTCCGGAGCAGGTGTCCAACCCGCCTAGTCTCCGCAGCACTAGGTTGACGCCACCGATGCAGTAGTGTGGGCAAGTCGCATGTGAATCTTTGAATATTGCTGACATCCTCAAGGTGAACGAGGCAAACAAAAGAATGCGCAACATAAAGCACAGCCACGAGTGCTGCCAAACAACGCACAACGGATGCAACAGCGACTCACACGAGTCGAATGCACGCACTAGGCGCTCACGCCCGTGGCAACAGCCGATCGCAAAGAAGCAAGCACCCCCCGTGGGGCTCGAACCCACGACCACTGGCTTAAAAGGGCCAGCGCTCTACCGACTGAGCTAGACGGGTGTACCTTGACAACTTTTGCAGCAACTTAACACAACCAAAGTGTAACTCAAGCGCACAGATCAACACATGCACACGCACCAGCCGGCTCAAAAACAACAAACAAACCACATAAACAAACGCCGTTAGGGGGCTCACCTCCCCACATATAATCAAGTGTCATCAACCTTCTTCATATCCAACGATTAAGGTTTCGCCATGCGCAATACATCTCGATCACTTACAAGACGCTATACATGCACATTTTGGCAATCACTGCACTCGCTCGCTCAGGTCGACCCTTCGCTGTGTCGTTTGCCAACACAGTCGTGTAATGTATTCAATACCCGGGTAGCGACGTTGATACGGACACCCCCGGACACATTCGGGATCAGCATCAACAGAGATTTACACAAGAGCGACCCGTAGTCGAGTCCCGAACCATCACTTGATCTGAGCAAAGTTACACAAGATAATATGCAAACCCTTCATGTACACAATCGCAGCAGCGGATTCTTCATCAGCCCGGAAACCTAGGCAGCACTCGAGAGCTTGGTAACAACTGCGGTTAGATCTGACGGGCCGTTCGCTCCTGATTTGAGCAAAGACAATCATTCAGCTGGACTACGTGTGGCCTATCTGGGCTGCCTCTATTGAGCAGAAAACGTACTCGTGTGTACCTGCCAAACGGCCGTGCAGACTATTACGGAGATTGGAAGCAATCATCTTAATTCGAGTCATTTAGTTCTACGAATCCAAAGGCTACTTTTGGCTGACCCATCTCTACCTCGTAAGATGACCTAGCTCATCCACCCAGTCAACCTAAGTCAATGCCCCCCCTTCCCTCCCGACGCCCCTGGTCCGGAGCAGGTATATAACCCGCCTGGTCGCCGCAGCACTAGGTTGACGCCACCGATGCAGTAGTGTGGGTAAGTCGCATGTGAATCTTTGAATATTGCTGACATCCTCAAGGTGAACGAGGCAAACAAAAGAATGCGCAACATAAAGCACAGCCACGAGTGCTGCCAAACAACGCACAACGGATGCAACAACGACTCACACGAGTCGAATGCACGCACTAGGCGCTCACGCCCGTGGCAACAGCCGATCGCAAAGAAGCAAGCACCCCCCGTGGGGCCCGAACCCACGACCACTGGCTTAAAAGGCCAGCGCTCTACCGACTGAGCTAGACGGGTGTACCTTGACAACACTTGCAGCAACTTAACACAACCAAAGTGCAACTCAAGCGCACAGATCAACACATGCACACGCACCAACCGGCGCAAAAACAACAAACAAACCACATAAACAAACGCTGCAACCAACTCACCTCCCCACATATAATCAAGTGTCATCAACCCCTTCATATCCAACGATTAAGGTTTCGCCATGCGCAATACATCTCGATCACTTACAAGACGCTATACATGCACATTTTGGCAATCACTGCACTCGCTCGCTCAGGTCGACCCTTCGCTCTGTCGTTTGCCAACACAGTCGTGTAATGTATTCAATACCGGT